ATAGTAATTGGCATGAATAATAATTTTTTTACATGGCTAAAAATATTTCCAAATGTATAATTGTCCACATACTCATTTTTATGTTTTCACAGTCTGCTTTTAAGTCATTATTATTTTTGTTATATTACTAATCACTTTTACTTTTCGTATTTTTTTGTTTCTGGTTCAAAAACTAAATAAAATGAAGGATTCTGTGATTTATTGAACTGAGCATCAGCTACAAGAAAGTGTGACAAAACTGAATAAAAAGTCCTGCTTCGTATTTTCCACTTATTTAGCTGTTACATTCTTTGCACCTGGGAAATAAGATTTAATTGTATCAGTTGAGAATCTGAAAATCTTCACCAGCATATTTTTATCAGCTGCTATTGATATAATATAAAGACATTCCAAAATATTTGGAGGGACACTAAAACAAATTTTAGTTCTTTTAATTTCAACAACTGTCTAACGCTGATTGTCGAACAGAAGAACATTAACCTGATACATGCTCAATAATCCAGGTAGAAAAATCCAAAAAAGTTCAATCTGGTCCTCTGGACATTCAAAAAACAAAAGAACAAAAAAACAACCTGATGCATGCTCAATAATCCAGGTAGAAAAATCTAAAAAAGTTCAATCTGGTCCTCTGGACATTAAAAAAAAACAAAGCAAAACAAAGCAAAAAAATATAGAAACGTTTCGTCTTTCATCCAAGAGACTTCCTCAGTCTGAGGTGCTGTTTTCAGCTCAGTCTCTTAAAGAGCACCTTCTCAGAGTGGATCAACCAGTTTGCTGCTGACAACCAAAACCAGCTGATCACATGCTCAAGAAGGACCATCAGCCTAACAATGGATCATTAGCACACTGATGGCTGTTTACTATTCACAGAGGGCTGAGTGATACTAGCAATCACAGCATTGTAAGGGGGGGACAGTTGAACCCAGAGGCCTCCACCCCTGTTTAACGATGGACGATTTCTTTTCACAAAGATGGCCTCCTTTACTCCTCTCTCAAACCATCGTTCCTCTCTGTCCAGGATGTGAACATCTTCATCCCTGAAAGAGTGACCGCTGGCCTGGAGATGAGTGTAGACCGCAGAGTCCTGGCCTGATGATGTTGATCTTCTGTGCTGGGCCATCCTTTTGGCCAGTGGCTGTTTAGTTTCCCCGATGTAAGACTGATCACAGCCCTCCTGACACTGAACAGCATACACAACATTACTCTGTTTGTGCCGGGGGACTGGATCTTTGGGATGAACCAGTCTTTGCCGTAATGTATTTTGGGGTTTAAAAGCCACTGGGACGTTATGTTTAGAAAATAAACGTCTCAGTTTCTCTGATACTCCCTCAACATATGGAATGACCACTGGTCTGGGTTCCTCCTTTTCACCTGATGGCTGACTGGAGTCCTGTTTGGGTTTCTTCTCTGCTTTCAGGAACTCAGGAGCCAGGCAGAAGGAGAAATCCTACACAAGACAGGCTCTAGAGCAATGTGGATATCCTAACTAGCCCAGCACAGAAGATCAACATCATCAGGCCAGGATTCTGCGGTCTACACTCATCTCCAGGCCAGCGGTCACTCTTTCAGGGATGAAGATGTTCACATCCTGGATAGAGAGGAACGATGGTTTGAGAGAGGAGTAAAGGAGGCCATCTTTGTGAAAAGAAATTGTCCATCATTAAACAGGGGTGGAGGCCTCCGGGTTCAACTGTCCCCCTCTTACAATGCTGTGATTGCTAGTATCACTCAACCCCCTGTGAATAGTAAACAGCCATCAGTGTGCTAATGATCCATTGTTAGGCTGATGGTCCTTCTTGAGCATGTGATCAGCTGGTTTTGGGTGTCAGCAGCATACTGGTTGATCCACTCTGAGAAGGTGCTATTTAAGAGACTGGGCTGAATACAGCACCTCAGACTGAGGACGTCTCTCGGATCAGCGATGAAACGTTTCTATTTATTTTTTTGTTGCTTTGTTTTTTTTTTTTTTTTTTTTTTTTTTTTGTTTGTTTTTTGAATGTCCAGAGGACCAGATAGAACTTTTTTTGGAGAAGAACATGAAATTTTAATTTCCAATATTTTGAACGCCTCACGGTTCCCTTTGCATACGTCAGTGCCGGATGACCAATGAGCAGGCGAAACGAAGCACAGTTAGGTGACGTATACAGGAAATACAAACAGGTTTCAAACAGTGTAGTCAATGAACTGTCTTTTTTGTCGCTTGTTTCTGTCATAAAAGCTCGTTTTTCCCTGTCGGAGTGATGCAAACGTGGAGTCTCGTATCGATTTGTGTTTTACTTGGTGTTGCTGTGAGATGGGGCGTATCGTTAAATTCATACTCAGGTTGGAAATCAGTAGCTGCATGTTAACATGATGCTACACGCCTCTATCTGACTGTTTCAGAGCTTGTTTTAGTTTTGTATGTGAAAAAAATACTGTCAGAAAGTTGCATTACATGCATCACAACGTCATAATTTTACTATTTGCTTTCACTTATTGGTCTGAGATAGCTTGTTGTGTTAGCATCTTTCTTTAGCAGCTTAGCTTGCATCAAACTGACAGCTGGATGATTTTTCTTCCAGGGGCTGGGAAACCTCCCATGTTTGGTGACTATGAAGCCCAAAGACACTGGCAAGAAGTGACTTACAACATCCCACTTCAGGAATGGTCTGCCTAGCATTCTTTTAGTTATCAAGTGTTACTTTTAATCCATGTTTTTGTGAAAATCATACTCCTGGAAAAACTGTTTGATGGTTTTCTGATCCATGCTCAGTAATCCAGGTAGAAATATCTAAAAAAGTTAAGTCGGGTCCTCTGGACGGATTCTTCTTATTGAAATGTTGTGTTTTATCCAAAAGACTCCGTCAGTTATAGAGTACATAGATCTAGTAGTACATAGTACTATTAGTACATACAGTAGACTGTATCAATACAGTCTACGTTGATGGTATTTTTCAACTATAAAATATACACTATTTATCGCTGATCTGTGTCTGCTGTCTACATTCAGCCTGTAAACATATTTTGTACTTCTTTAGGTATTTTAACACTACAAACAATGACTTGAACTACTGGGGGCTTGACTACCCTCCCCTCACTGCTTATCACAGCTGGCTCTGTGGTCATATGTGAGTATTTTATTTATTTAGAGAGTATAAACCACAATATATATCCCTATTCATTGCAAGCACATTGACAGAAACAAATCAAAAACACAAAATAAGCTCGCTTTTGTACGTGTAACATCTCTGCTAGGAAACAACACTTGTGTTGACATGGTGATTATGACATCCCAGTGTTTCCCCTACCATTATACAGGCGGGGTGCCCCACCCCATCAACAGAACTGAGCACCCCGCCTACCAAACTGAACTTGCCTCTCCCACCCCCACCCAGCACTGACATATCACTAAGGTAGCGGCGCAAAATACAGGCTCTCTAGCTAAAAAGCCCATGGCAGCACTCGCATTGCCTCTTCCCTCATGTTGAACGCCCCCCGCCCCCGCTCAAAAACTGTTAGTACAAGCTGCGCTCAGACATGTCTCCGTTCCCCCCCCCCATCAGCAAAAATCATGGATGAGATGAGCACCCCGCCATGGCAAGCTAACTAGGGGAAACACTGCATCCTATGCGTAGTATACAAATATGCAATCTTTTTATTGTGTATTTTTGTCTATTTCTGTGTGTTTTTATGAAAAGTTATAAATAAAAAATACTTCTTACATTTTCAGAGCCAAGATCATAAACTCAGAATGGGTAGAACTACATAAATCCAGAGGTTTTGAGAGTCCAGATCACAAGTTATTCATGAGAGCTACAGGTATAGTAGCTATGGAAAAACTTACAGGAAATTGGACATATTTATACAAGTTTTTATATATATAAATTATTATTGTAATAAATGTGCTGCTGACATTATAGAAATCAATGCTTCTGCAAATGTATTATTCTCAAGTAATGGGGTAACTGTAAAAAACAATTACTGTTCCTCAATTTGATAAGTAATAATATGTGAAAGTTTATTTTAGTCCCTTTTTAATTATAAAAAAATTGGGTATTACATGCTAAAGTAAAAAAAAAAATTGACAATGTTTAATTGACATTAAAGATTAGTTCCTTTTTATTAGACATGTTTGCTTTTATTCATTAACTTTTAACAATTCTAAAAATATTCATAATTTAAATTGTTTTTTTTTTCTTCCCTCTGTTTCAGTCTTGGTAGCAGATGTGTTATTATACATTCCAGCTGTTGTCCTATACTGTTTATATCTGATTGAAGGCTCCTGTAAGAAAAAGGTAACCATGATGATCTGTTTGCTATTTACCAGTTAAATCTAAAGATTTTTTTCCTCTCTAACTTTGAATCTTTGACTTTTATGCTAGCTTAACTTTTTAATGTTAACTATAAAAATTACAGTCCTCATTAATGCTGGTAATTTTATGTGGTTTTTGTATGCTTTGGTAAACTGTAATCTTTTCCGAGACATTTTATTGATTGATTGATTGATTGTCATTTCAGGTTTCCACTCTTCTCTGCATTCTTCTTTACCCAGGACTGATTCTCATTGACTATGGGCATTTTCAGTATCCTTTATGTGCATTTCTTTTTCCCCATATCATCTGGGAAATGTAGATTTAGGGTTGAAAGTTTTGTCTAAAAGCCAAAAGGCTCATATTTTATTCACTTGGAATACAACAACAAATGAGCAAGTGTGAACAAATCATACTCAGTGTTTCTGACATCTAATATTTGCATTTTTAACCTCACAGCAACACTGTAATAATTGTTCACAGCTGAAAAATGTTTAGCATAATCTGGCACACCATATTGGATCAGTAAGATCAATGGATACCAGAAAAAATATACATAAATAGTGTCTTTTTAACAACTATATATTTTGCTTGCTGTTTTTAAACAACAAAAATGCAACTTTAATACTAGTAATTAATTATTATCCTTGACAGAATCGGGTACAATGGTGTGAGTCTGGGCTTTGCCCTGTGGGGGGTTCTGGCTCTGGGTCTGGGCTGGGATATGTTGGGCTCCATGGCTTTCTCCCTGGCTCTCAACTACAAACAGATGGAGCTGTATCATGCACTGCCCTTCTTCTGTTACCTTCTTGGAAAGTGTGTCAAAATTGGCCTGATGGGGCGTGGGTGAGCATTATTTTTCTTTATTGGATGTTTTTTTTTTCTTCTAATTTTTTTGTTAGTTTTACTGTCACAGGTTTGCTCTAAATGAGCACAGTGCAGAGCACAATGCTCTTGTTGGTTGCCTTTCATTAATCAGCCAATTGTCAGTCGTGCAGTGGCGGACTGGTTATTGAGAGCACCGGAACATTTCCCAGTGGCCTGGCCCACTCAGTGACTGCTGAGGGGCTGGACAAAAGGCTCTGTTTGGGTCGCTTTTGATTATTTTAAATAAATAGTCCATCCCGCTCATACGGCTCACTCAGGTATCCTCACTGAAACTCCCACAGACTGAACAGTAGCGATGAGGAAAGACAGACTCCGAAGGATATATGTTCACACGCGCGCCTCTGTATGTCCATCTTTTCTTCGGTTTGGATCATGTAGCTTGTAGAATGGAGCGAGAGAGACATCCAATGAGGAAAGGTTGAGCAGGGAGGGGGAGGATAAAAAAAAGAGAAAAGCACAGGCCACTGATGGTGTTGTTTGAACAATCTTGGAAAACCCGCAAAATAGTGAGTCCACGAAAGTCAAACCACGAAGTACCGAGGGACTACTGTACATTGGATAGTTTTTGTCTTCAAGAAATGCACTCACTGGCCCTTTCATTAGGTACACCTTACTAGCACTGGGTTAGACCCCTTTTTGCCTTTAGAGCTGCCACCGCTCTTCATTGAATCGTTCTAACAAAGTATTAGAAAGAATTCTTTGAGATTTTGGTCCATATTGACATGATGGCATCACGCAGCTGCTGCAGATTTGGCACACTTGATGCAAATCTCCCATTCCATCATATCCCAAAGGTGCTGGATTTGATTGAGATCTGGTGACTGTGGAGACAATTGGAGTTCATTTACTCGATATTCAACAGACCAGGCAATGTTTTTCCTGTTTCTAATTGTCCAGTCTGGATGAGCCTTTGCAAATTGTAGCCTAAGTTTCCTGTTCTTAGCTGACAGGATTGGCGCCCATTGTGGTCCTCTGCTGCTGAAGCCCATCTGCTCAAAGGTTGAATTTTGTAATGAGTTAATGAGATGTACTGGTAATATAAATAACGAGCTGTTTCTATCATCTCACACCAGTCTGTCCGTTCTCCTCTGATACCAGAAAGACATTTTTGTCCACACAAAGTTAATTTTTTTTAAACATTTTTTGTACCATTCTTTGCACAAGCACTCATGTCATGTTCAAAGTCACATAAATCCTCTTTCTTCCCCCATTCTGATTTCAGCTTGAACTTTAGCAAGTCAGTTTAACCACATTTACATGCCTGAATGCTTTGATTTGCTGCCTTGTGATTGGCTAATTATTTGCGTTAATGAGCAATTGAACAGGTGAACCTAAAAAGTGTTGGGTGAGGGTTTGAGCCCAAACACAAACAGACTCAACTGTAGAAGTCATCAACCAAAGTGACATTCAGATACCTATTCTTGTGTTTTATGAAGTGTTGTTGCGTTTTATGTTTTACTATTGTAACTGTTGGTGTTTTGGCTAATGTTGTCCACCACACCAAGCATAACTTATTAAAAAAAACAACTCATGAATAAGTCAATTTAAATGTGATGTCATTATTATTCTAAAGTGCATTTGGTGGTTATATTGTGTTGTTTCTGTGCATGAATGTGTCAGTTGGATGCTCATGTTAGTAATGTCAGTGATGAGTGTCTTCCCAAGAGTCAAAGAATGACTGAGGTAATCAGACTGGATGCAATTACTCATGTGTCCAGTGTCTGTTTATCTAGTAACAATGTACCAAGGGCATTTAGTAGCAAATGGAGAGCAGGATTAGGCTCTCCGGGGAAGATATGTCCAGATGACACTTTCACCATCCCCAAACTCCTCAACTATGTCTGTGTGTGCAACTGAACCAGCAGCTTCACAGTTACAGCTGACGAGATACTCTGACCTATGCTGAGGAGTTTCAGCTGATGCGTAGATTTCACTGCATTCCTCGGCAGGGGGGGTCAAATCCCAAATTTAGGACTTGCAGACAGTTTGTGCTAACTGTTTTGATGAATTACAGACAAAACAGACACATTGAAGCAAAAGGCAAATATACAAGTTGTACACATATACAGCAATAGCTTACTTTGGTTGTAAAGATTTGATTCTAACACTAAAATACGGTGTTTGTTATCACGTAGGGTTTTCCTGTTGGTGAGAATTGCTGCAACTGTGTTGGTGACTTTTGCCCTCTGCTGGTTGCCCTTCCTGTCTGACTCCAGCCAGGCCCTGCAGGTGGTCAGGAGGATCTTTCCTGTGGCTCGCGGTCTTTTTGAGGTACATTGCAGAATCTTCAATTTCAACTCTGAGCTAAATCCACATCAACCAGACTTTGGTTTCCTTTCAAAACATTTGCCATGAAAACATTTGTTCTCTTGTTATGCAGGCATCTCATTTATGTTTATTTCTATTATAATGAGTTATGAGCAGTGTGAATCAATTTCAAAAGATTGGTTCAGCTTTTATATTATTTTTCGTAATTATTGTCTGTGGAAACGGAGAAGATAATCATATTTAGTTTAACTGAGAAAAGCTCTTTTGCATTAACCTAACAAGGTTGAGTCAGGTCCTCTGGACAAATTCTTCTTTGTTGAAACTAGTTTGAGGCAATTCTGGTCAAAGTGGTTCAAAATGTCCTGATGCATGCACTATAATCTAGGTAGATGAATCTAACAAGGTTGAGTCACGTCCTCTGGACAGATTCTTCTTTGTTGACTCAACCTTGTTAGATTCATCTACTTGGATACATCAGCATGCATCAAGACCTTTTGTATTAATGTCTTGTGAAAGTCTTTTTGTATATCTGACTGAGTAGATCATTTGGGAGTTTTCCAATGTGTGACAATTTAGTTTAAAGTTTAAACTCCTGTATAATGGTTTTCATAAATTTGGCTTTAAGTTGTGACTGATGCTTTTATTGACGTCACACGCAACCCGTGAGGCACTCCTCGTTCCCTTACTCTCGTCGGAGTGAATTCCCGTCCAGCTCCCAGTGCTTAGCTGGCTGGAAATGGATACCCCGCTGGATCAAAGAAAACAGTGGAATAAAATGGTGAAAGGTCAAGAGATCAGTTTCAGCCTATCCCTGGGAGGTGTTGGGATTCATGATGTACAGAAGGAGGATACAGATAAATCTAACTAATTTATGGCCGGATTGTTTTCAGCACTTCATAGCTCAGCCATGTTCAAGCCATATGGACTGATGAGTGGGGCCACTGATACACTGATACACTTAAAGGCGTATCAGAGCACATTGGACAACTGTTTTTTTTCCTTTTACTGACATCTTGAGAAAGAAACCAAACGGATACCTTGCTCAAACACCTATATGGCATTAGCCTTAGGAAAAACAATCTTGGCTGACTTCTAGTTCAGTTGTATATTGGTCACTGAAATATGATATTTAAAAAAGAACTGCAATTACAATATACAAAAACAACTTGTAACACTTCTGAAATCCCTGTGTTGAAAGCTGTTATGGAAGAAGCGGGGTTAAAGTGACGCCATGTGCTTCTGTTTGAATGTGTGACTGACAACTCGGAAGCCAAGTTCTGCAGCTCTTATTTCTGCAACCCTGTAACTTTGAGATGGCACCTACTACACGGTGTTATGGATGTGAACAGTAATTACGTTACAGCATGCACCAAGGCAGCATTTGTCTGATAAATTGGTTCAAACATAATGCACAGGGTGTGAGAGACTATAATCTGCTTTGATGACAGCGTGAAAGGTTTCAAGTCGTCCTGAGCTGAAATTCTGCGCATAAGCAGACCACTTTGACGAGAGCTACGGGCTAAGAGGGCTGGCTGGACAGAACAGGGCTGCTGACTGGTGGTCCTGGCGACTTCTGGGAGGGGGAGCAGTTGTAAGTTTACCCACTGGGTTGCATTCTGCCGTCTCATGTTGCTGCCTGCTCACAAAAATGGCACCAAATGCTTCTCCCTGTGAAATTCCTCTTTGGCTTCTAGGTGACTGAGCCTCAAGGCCAATCCCCCACCACCATCACCACCTCCACCATATTCAAGTGTTTCCTTCAGGAGGAAACGAGGAAGCTGCATGAAATAAAGCAGTAAAGGGGGAAAAAGGAGGATGGGGCTGTGATAGCACCACCCAATGCTGCTGACTAGGTGGCCATTAAAATCTACACAGTTGTGCAGAAAGCAGCTGTAGCACACAGAGGAGAGAGGAGGGCAGGAATAGATTTTCTAGGCATGATCATGCTTAAAGCAGCCACAAAGGAATTATCAAGCCAATCTGTGTGTGTTTGATATTATGGCCACACTGGTGGTTATGTGATCCTTTCACATCCGCTTTAGCATTTTACGTTCTAATGGACTCTAATTAGAAGCAGCAATTAACTGTAGATTGTATTCTGATTTGATTGCCTAACTTTTCTTTATGATGTTATGCTAACATGAGATATTACCAGTTCAGATAATAAATTATTGTGCATTATGTTCAGAAATAATATTTTAATTTTATTGATTTCTTGGAGACTAGAATAACTGCTTTTCTGTCATCCTAAATGTGGCAGTTTACTTTTTGTTTTATACACATTTAAAAGTTGAATATTTACATTCCTGCCAACATTTGTATTTTTATATTATTTAAGCTTTAGTGAGAAACTAAATTAACTAATTATAGATGATTTAGTGTTTTAGGGTGTCCATATGTGCTCTTGGCACCAGGACACCCTAGGCCGCAGTTTGATGATCGACTTTGTCATCATCTCATCTGATATCCGGCCACATGTCTTGGACACTCGGGTGAAGAGAGGGGCGGAGCTGTCCACTGATCACTGCTTGGTGGTAGAAAGAAAGAAAGAAAGGAAGAAAATTGATGGATGGATAGATGATTTAGAGTTTATATCCATTCGATTTTACAGAAAGGATTGTGTTTTAGCTAAAAAGCATAATTGTTTGGAGGATTCATCCATCCATCCATCCATCCATTTTCTTCTGCTTATCTGGTTGCGGGGGTAGCAGCCTAAGTAGGGAGGCCCAGACTTCCCTCTCCCCATCCACTTGGTCCAGCTCCTCCAGGGGAGTCCCGAGACATTCCCAGGCTAGCCAAGAAACATAGTCCCTCCATTGTTTCCTGGGTCTTCCTCTGGGTCTCCTCCCGGTGGGATGTGTCCTGAACACCTCACCAGGGTGGCGTCCAGGAGGCATCCTAAACAGATTCCCGAGCCACCTCAACTGGCTCCTCTCGACGTGGAGAAGCATCGGCTCTACTCTGAGTCCCTCCCGGATGATCGAGCTTCTCACCCCATCTCTAAGGGAGAGCGAGCCCAGACACCCTGCGGAGAAAACTCATTTCGGTCGCTTGTATCAGAGATCTCGTTCTTTCGGTCACAACCCAAAGCTCATGACCATAGATGAGGGTAGGAACGTAGATCGATCGGTAAACTGAGAGCTTCGCCTTCCGACTCAGCTCTCTCTTCACCACGGCAGACCTGTACAGCACCCGCTTCACTGCAGACGCTGCACCTATCCGCCTATCGATCTCACGTTCCATTTTTCCCTTATTCGTGAACAAGACCCCAAGATACTTGAACTCCTCCACTTGGGGCAGGACCTCCTCCCTGACCTGGAGAGGGCACTCTACCCTTTTCCGGCTCAAGACCATGACCTCGGATTTGGAGGAACTGATCCTCATCCCGGCCACGTCGCACTCTGCTGCGAACTGCTCCAGCGAAAGCTGTAGATCACGATCTGATGAAGCCAATAGGATCACATCATCTGCAAAAAGCAGAGACACAATCCTAAGGCCACCAAAATGGATCCCCTCAACACCTTGGCTGCGCATAGAAATTCTGTCCATAAAAGTTATGAACAGAATTGGTGACAAAGGGCAACCTTGGTAGAGTCCAACTCTCACCGGGAACAAGTCCGACTTACCGCCGGAAATGCGGACCAGGCTCTGACACCGGTCATACAGGGACCTAACAGCCCGTATCAAAGGGCCCGGTACTCCATACTCCCAGAGTACCCCCCACAGGGTTCCCCGAGGGACGTGGTCGAACGCCTTCTCCAAGTCCACAAAGCACATGTAGACCGGTTGGGCAAACTCCCACTCACCCACCAGGACCCTGCTGAGAGTGTAGAGCTGGTCCAATGTTCCACGACCAGGACGAAAACCGCACTGCTCCTCCTGAATCCGAGGTTTGACTATCCGACGGACCCTCCTCTCCGGTTTGACTATCCGACGGACCCTCCTCTCCAGAACCCCCGAATAGACCTTACCAGGGAAGCTTAAGAGCGTGATCCCCCTGTAGTTGAAACGCACTCTACGGTCCCCCTTTTTGAATAGGAGGACCACCACCCCGGTCTGCCAATCCAGGGGAACGTCCCCCGATGTCCACGCAATATTGCAGAGTGGCGTAAGCCAACACAACCCTACAACATCCAGAGCCTTAAGGAACATCGCGCAAATCTCATCCACCGATATTTCTTGTATAGATTTTATGAAGAGCTCTGAGTTTTTAAAAATAGTTTACCTGTTGACCATCAGTCAGTTTAACATTCAGTCCATCTTTCAGTCAGTCATTCCATCAGTTTGTCAATCCATCTGTCAGTCAGTAAGTCCGTCAGTCAGTCCGTCACTCAGTCAGTCCGTCCATCAGTCAGTCCGTGAGTCCGTCACTCAGTCAGTCCATCCATCAGTCCGTCCATCAGTCAGTCCATCCGTAAATCCGTCAGTCAGTCCATCCGTCAGTCAATCCGTCAGTCTGTCCATCAGTCAGTCAGTCCGTGAATCCATCAGTCAGTCCGTAAGTCCATCAGTCAGTCCTTCCATCAGTCAGTCAATACGTCAGTCAATCCATCCATCACTCAGTCAGTCCGTCCATCAGTCAGTCAGTCCGTGAGTCCGTCAGTCAGTCCGTGAGTCCGTCAGTCAGTCCGTAAGTCAATCAATCAGTCCTTCCGTCAGTCAGTCAGTCCATCAGTCAGTCAGTCTGTGAGTCCGTCAGTCAATCAGTCAGTCCTTCCGTCAGTCAGTCAATCCGTCAGTCAGTCCTTCCATCAGTCAGTCAATTTGTCAGTCACTCCATCTGTCAGTCAGTCAGTCAGTCCGTGAGTCAGTCAGTACATAAGTCCATCAGTCAGTCCTTCCGTCAGTCAGTCCTTCCGTCAGTCAGTCCTTCC